AGTGGCCAAGAAATCGTACAGATGAAGATCACTGGAGTCAAGATTAGCAGCCATGTTGAACGAATAAAACCTTGGCTCTCTAACAAAGAAAAGTGAAGGCCATCTTATCTTCCACCATGGACGATGCTAGTTTCTCTTCCTTTAAATAATGGAGGCGATCGCGCTTGAATTTACTAACTGAAACACGGCCTGTTGGATATCGATAGATCGATAGATAGCGCTTTTTTTCATGGCAAACATCACCTTAAGTAGAGAAGGGGAAAAAAAACATAGAAGGGGCAAGAGAAGCATGATAGAGGCTTGCGGACTGTGAACATCCCAATAACCGAGGTTTGTGAACCTTTTAAGCTGCCTCGGCCATTTGTCAAATCTTTTAGTCTTAATACCTAAAAAAAAATACATTAAATTCATAAAGATACTGTTTTTGCTGCTCCCAGGAGTATTGCTGAGATGGTTCCATTCACTCCACCACAAGTTATATGTTCGACTTTCTTTAAAGATGCTCAGAAACCTCTTGCTTAAATGGCAAAACGCGCGAGTCTCAAAGGAGTATTTCATTTCGTAGTTTCCTTTCCGTTGAATAGCAGATTCAACCAAACACATTAAAGGTTCCAAATACTGTGTCTCATTGGACTTGCGCTGTTTACTTCAATTAAGCAAAGGACTTTCTACCAACGAGTGTCTTTGATTCACAGGAAAAATCTGAATCGTCAGGTTTACTAATCTATTGCTGCGTACAATGTAATATAAACCTGAGGTTGAAGGTCAAGCTTTTCCTTTTTTTCTGTTAAACACGCCGAGCCGATACAGCTAAATATCGCGTAACTCTTGTTGGCTTTTTTGAATTTCCAGGAGGAAATTTGCATTTAAATCTAAAGGCCTAAAAGGTCACAAATACAATCAAAATTTTCTATTTTTAACTCTGCTAGATGAATCAAATTGTGAGATATCGGTGGAAAGCGGAACAATCTTCTCAGGTGAAGTGATGCGCTCAGTGCCTCGCACTTCTTCCTTCTCCATTCTTCTTCCCTTCTATGAGTAGAAGAAAGGCCTTTGGCACCTATAAGGATGTATAATAATCTAATGCGCATACCATATATGTTGAAATAGAGCGGTTTTCACTTCAGTTATATCAAAATTGTTTCGTCGCAAAAAGCAATTGTACAGACAGCTATTTGCTTTAAAGCGGTACGTCAACCGAGTCTACAAATAGCTAGTATACAGTTACAATGCACCTTTTTATGTGTGAGTTTTAAATGAGTCCAAAACACTTGAGTTTCTCAAGTGTGTGGTATCCCTTGTCACTATAATAAAGGGCATCTCCAAACCTAAGTTGTTTCACAAGCAGCATGAATTTGTCTTTGAGGAAGGCGCCTTCCTCTCGCCATGTGCGGTCACTCATGTCGCAGTTGCATCCGTAGTTAGTGTTTGCACATGTATTATTCAAGCATGTGCATTCGTAATCAACAGAAACAACTCCTCCCCAGTTTTTCATGTTCTCTCCATCACGTGACACCCACCAGCCGTACATGTCACGATTGTAGAGGAGCTGCGAGTGGTAGCACTCGTGCTTTATAAACTGCTTACAGGTTCGCCAATTGAGCCATGTCAGCCTCCGTGTAGTTGATGGAGCAAGAATAGGAGCCTCTGCCACCAAACCCTCGCAGCCACTTCCTGCCTTCACTTTCATGACTAACAACTGTCACCCCAACACCGCCCTTGTCAGTCATGTTACAATAGACTTTGAAAGGTTTAACCCCGCCCTCTCCATCAGGGTCGATGACGTAAGATCCACTTAGGAGATTACATAGTTTGATCTGACTGAAGGTTTTATCTCCTTAGAAGCATAAAAAAAAAATTGATTATAAGTATATCTTATTTCATGCGTTCTTAGGATTGGATTAAATTAATGGAGCTTTTATGGGGGGGATTACATTTCGCCAGAGAATTCGTGTCAATCAAATTCATTAGCGTGCTTCATATTCCCATTGTACACAATGATGACGTAGTGTACGCATTAAAACGTAGCAAACTTCTGCATTAAAACTTCTCTATCGCGACAGCTGTGTGTTTATCTGGATATGAAGCACTTAAGACGTATGAAGAGCTCTCAAGAGGCTAGAGTGGTGAAAGCTTCAGTGAAATTGACCAATTCCAAAAATAATTGAAGCTAAACCTTGCTCAGAAGCATTTTTGAGAATCTGAAAAAAAGCGATGTAAGTTTTCTTCTCCAAGGTAACAGAAGGGATCGCAATTTTAAAGTTACCAAAAGAAAGATCGCGTGCCGGATGCCAATAGAGAGCGCTGTTCTGTATGGCAAAAATCAAGGTTAGCAACGAAGGGAAAAATATCAAGAGTGGCAGGAGCAGCATGATGGTGGCTGTTGGATGACAACACATGAATGAGCTGCTTTAGGATACAAAGCACTTTACTTGTGAATAAGAAACTTGTTTGATATTGCACATGTCGATAAAAAAAGAACATTATAACCTTCTCTTACGAAAACAAGAAATGACATTCGTAATGCAGAATGTACAAATTCCCTTCGAGCTCATTGCAGCTCTGTGATCTGTACTGGACGTGAGATACATACATTTTAACTAATGTGGCAGACAATGATTTACCAAAAACGGTAAAGGTTTGTTTAAAATTCACTAGAAAATGTTCACTAAAAAAGTTCACCTACTACTCTGTATTTGGGTAACATCATGCTGAGAACAAGAAGAGAAGTGAAAAGCTGGCTATTTTTGAGAAATAGCTCGCGTTTACCCCGAGACAACTCTGGCTTACGATGTGAAGTTCAGATGAATGAGCTTTTCGATATGTATAAGAAATCACGTGATCAAAAGTAGGCAAGTTTGTGACCTTCCCCAATGTGTTCAAAATTCACGAATATGCACATATTTTATTTGTGGAACATAGAAGGACATCATTTGTATTGTTTTTTAGAAGTTAGCATTCTAAATCTTTGAAATCCCGCTTAGCATGACGTCTTTAGGTGGCTGGAAACAGTTTTCCGAGACGCCTACGGAATATATATTCAATACGCCCAAAAGCCATCGTTCCCTCCTCGCAGTCAAACCAATTTAAACTCGTTGACCAGAGGATAAACGTTTGAAAAAGCGGGCGTTGCAATTTGATCACTTTCATAATGCTACTTTTATGGAAAATCCTGTTAAACAGTTTTAGTCGATGGTCTCAGTAAGTCCGTAAAAATTATTTACAACTTGAGGATTTTTCTTTCTTGAATCTTGCTGAATCCTAAATCTTGCTGTTTCAAAATCATGAGCTGTTAAGCTTGGTGTTGAGTTTTCAGCTTCTAAGTGAAACTACTTACAGAAGGAATTCTAAATTAAGTTTTACGGCGTAAACATCAATAATTTTTCAACAGCATGTCGTATCTGGACAGTTCTTTCTTGCAAAGAATGAATTGAGCCAATTACAGCCACAACGAGATCTTTTTGGACGGCTTTGATTAGAACAGAATGGAATTTTTTTTTTGAAACTAATGAAAAACAACATCGAACCAGTATATCGCCAATATAAACAAGAACGAATATTGCATAAAACCTTGGTGAAACTTAATACACTAATGAAAGAATTTCCCTGTCGTCTAAGTCCATTTTACAAAATAACTTATCATTCATGCAAGCGAAACACGTTTTGTCTGAATTGACACGAATGGGGGCAAATTATATGTGGAAACTCCCACACTTAGCTGTAGAGTGTTAGTCAGGGATCTCCTTGTGTCTCTAACTCCTGAGTCTCTCAAGTTAGAACCCCCTTAAGTACTGTTTTTATGCAATACTCTTTGCGTTGGTTATTTGGAGAAGCTAGAATCCTGAGAGGTCTACATCAAAATGAATGATCACTACGATCAAGATCATTAAATTTGACTGCTGATAATATTTTGTCTGTACCAGCATTGTTCACGTATTGTACAAGTATTGTAACCTATACATTCAATAGCGCGAGCCTGCTTCATTTTGTTATTGTGCCAATAATGTTTTTGCACACAATGAAGCTTAGTGGAGGAAATCGCTCTTCATCATCCAAATTTAAAACTACCCTGTTAAGAATGTTGCAAATAAAAGTAAATTGGCTCAAAAAACTCAAGAGGCTTGAGTAGCTCGAGGCACTCTCACGCATCTTTCTTACTCCCAGCGTTAAATAATTAACTGACTTGGTTTCTATTGGCTTTTACAAAAGGGGTTTTCAAACTGATGTTTAAACGTCCAGCAGGTCCTAACAGTTTTGGTTTAGAGTATAACAACTTGACCGATAGACTCTGAAGAGGAAGCTCTCTCTCGAGCCCCTCTTACATGGCAAAGAATCAGGTAAGCAAATGTGGTACAACCATAACATTCCTCTTTAGGATTCTAATGCGTTATTCAGGAATCATTAGAGCCTATGTTAGCTTGTTATGCACGCAGACAGTTATATTATCAGTTACTTATTTCTTGTGGTCTTTATTATTTCATTTAATTTTTTTGATGGTGATAGTACCTCACCAACGGTTCAGTTAGAATAGGGCCTTCGAATTATTTGTTGGCGCAGATTACCTGAGTTGCTTTCTTCAACCTAAGAGAATTTATATCAACGAGTGTCTCAGGCTTGCGGGAAAAATCTCAAGGATCGCATTTGTTGAAAAGTGTAATTGTCAGAATGTTTGGAGACTAACAAGGCAAACGCACGTAGTTTTTTAATCGTCATATACTGTAGAACAATATTGCACAAATCTGTAACTGATGATCGGGTTTTCTTTTCGATTCCACGGTATTTGGACGACATGTTTATCCTTTCACAAATGCGTTTCATACCGTGAACAATCTCTGTCTCAAAACTACAAGCAGCGAAAATGGGCCTTCGGCGCCTAAAATTACGCTTAATATGCTAAAACACATGCGCTATACGTCAAAACCAAACATTTTTTAACCTTCCTACTGATATTTATCCATCCTGGAATTCCTTTCAAGCAGCAAGCTATCATAACAGATAACATGTTACTTAACAGCGCTATAACAGGCAAGTCTACAAATAGCGGGTATACAGTAACGATCTACATGAATCCAAAACACTTGAACTTTCCAAGTGTGTGGTATCCCTTCTCACTATTTGTCCAAACCTCAGTTGCTTCACGGGAAGCCTGGACTTGTTAGTAAGTAAACCACTGTCCTCTCGCCATTGTTGGTCAAGTTTGTCGCAGTTACATTCGTACTAAGGGTTTACACATGCATGGTTCAAGCCGCATGCACATTTGTAGTCGATAGAATCCACTCCTACCCAGTACTTCATCTCCTCTCCATCACGTGACACCCAACAGCCGTAACCATTGCGAAAGAGCCTTGAGTGATAGCACTCCTACATTAAAAACTGCTCACAGTGAACAGATGAAGCTGTTCGACTAATTCCCTGGTACGTGACATTGCACGAATAACTGCCGGGGTCCTGAAATCCATCCACCAGCGTTCTGTTTTCACTGTCGTGACTGACAACTGTCACTCCAACACTGTCCTCGTCAGCCGTGTCACAGAAGTCTTTAAAAGGTTTCTCTCCACCTTCTCCATCGGGATCGATGACGTAAGAGCCACTTGGAGTCCTAGGGTAGGAGTGTTTGATATCACAGCAGGTTCGACTTCCTGAAAAACAAAAAGACACAGAAAAACGACTATTTCACAAAAGATTATCCCTGTTCTTACCGGAAAAGAGAAGTGATGACGTAAGAAGCTATTTGAGAGATTGTATACTTTCATATCTCAAAAATTTTATTTCCATGGAAAATGAAGAAAGAAAAACCGGCCGTGTAAGGTCGAACTTTCATTACCTTTCATATTGGAAAATTGTTGAAGGACACTATACACGTATATGGAAGCAGTTGCATAAAGTTTTCAATGACATTTAGTTATAATTAAAGACGACAGTATGACTTCTACTTTAGAGTTTGTACCTCTCAGTTCGAAAGCGAATTTAATACCTCCACGTTTGCAGTGAGTTCCACTGAATCCAGGCTGACAATCACAATGATAGGAGTTCCTTTCATATTCAGGAACACAGACACCTCCGTTCTCACAAGCAGCGCTTTCATATGGAGACTAGAAACAAAGTAAACATTCCTTGAATCATTCAGTTTCTATTTTAAGAAATACGAAGAGTGTTAAGCACCAAATATATGAAGAGATCTTACCAACGGACTGCAGTGATGGAAAGTAGCATTGCATGAACCTTTTCAGCCCCTCTGTACTTGTCTGTGGCCAATAACTCTAACAGATAAAGACCTTTGGAGTCAGGATACACTGCTATGTTAAACGAATAGCACTTTGGTTCAACAACACAAAGAAAAGTGCAGTCCAACTTATCTTCCATATCATCGCCAAAAAATGTATGGCTATTTGCCATAAAAAGTCTGTAGCCAAAACTTTAGGTTTTAGGCTTCTCTAATGAACCCTACTCCCCCCCCCCTCCCATTGAACCCCTTAAACTTTACCGGAAATGATCAAAGAGTAAAACATATCGAAGAAACTCAAAGGGTATTTCAGAGCATCTGAAGAGTGAGCCAGTTTCACCCGAAGAATAAAATGATTGATTGCTTTTTCAGGCTCCATGGGTAGGGGGGAGTGAAGGCGACAAAGAATATTAATATAATTTGACCTGAAGGTGACTGTGATGGTCACAGATCTTTAAATTCTTAACATAATACATAACATTTTGTTGTTTTGCGGTAATGAGAATTCGCGAAGATATATTGAAATGCAGAAGGCGCCAACGAGAGGTCATCGAGCTCTGTCCAATAAAGTGTCTCAGCCAGATGATATAATCGCTTGCAAAATCCACAGAGAGGAAAATGAAAGGAAAACATAGTTGGCTTTAGTACGAAATTGGGCCATTTTAACAAAGATGACTGTGTACTGTAGGCTTCAAATTCAAGTACTTGTACAAGACTTACAGTCATTTCCAGATTTAGCGTATTTTATGGGATTCAAATAGGGGTGAAAGTTTGCAACTATGAGGTCCTTTGGATCTTTTATTTAAGATTTTCTCGACAGAATAACTTCCAGCTTGGTCATCTCCACTTTTCTGTGGTAAACAAATCGTGTCATCATCAAATTACTTCATATATATATATCGACGAATTGGAAGCATACATTACTTTTGTAAAACGATGGCAGGTTTTTTACTGCAGGCAACTGCTTTCACGTCTCTTGGAATTCTCAAACGCGGTAAAAGAGCAATGTTAATTAATCAAAACCAAATTAATTTTGATATACAAGTATCACTATAGCAAGTATTTAAAGTTAATGACCTGTACTTCAGTCTTAAATGGGTCCAAAGCACTTGAGCGGTCCAACACTCAGTATGACATTCGGTTACAATTTTGGGCAAATACTTTAAACTAAACATTATGAATTTCTCCATTTTTCTCACTACATTACAATCAAATTACCAATTCATTACATTTCTCTGAATTATCATGGACCTCCATTCTAATTCGGTTCTGCAAAGAAAGTACAGTGATCAAGCAATCTTTTTGATGTTCAACATATAGTCTTTGTGACTTCTTAGTAGATAAGTCCATAACACTCCAGTTTTCCAAGGGTGTGATATCCTTTTTCATCGCCACCGCTAAGGCGACCGGTATCTCCAAACCTCATTTGAATCACGGGAAGCTTGGACTTGTTTGTTAGTAAACCGCTGTCCTCTCGCCATTTCCAATCGTTTTTATCGCAGTTGCAGCCGTAACTGGTGTCCGCGCACGTGTTGTTCCACCCACATGCACATTTGAATGGAGCAGAGTCGACTCCACCCCAGTACTTCATCTTCTCGTCATCACGTGATACCCACCAGCCGTACATGCCACCATTGAAAAGGAGTATTGAATGATAGCATTCGTATTTGATAAACTGCTCACAGTGAGCAGATGAAGCTGTTAAGCTTGCTAGCTGAATTAGACTGGCTTCATTATAAGTAACGTTGCGCGAATAACTACCACGAACATCAAATCCATCCACCAGCATTCTGCTTTCACTATCGTGACTGAGAACTGTCACTCCTATCCCCCCCTTCTTAGTCATGTCACAGAAGACTTTAAAAGGTTTCTCTCCGCCCTCTCCATCAGGATCGATGACGTAAGAGTCACTTAGAGTCCTAGGGTAGAAGCGTTTGATGTCACTGCAGGTTCGATTTCCTGAAACACAAAAAGACACAGAAAAACGACTATTTCCCAAATGATTATCCCTGTTCTCACCGAAAAAAAGAAGTGATAACGTAAAAAGCCATTTTAGAGACTACATACTTCACTCTGAAAAGGTTTATTTCCATGGAAAATGAAGATAGAAAAAAACGGCCGACTTAGGGCAAACTTTTCCTTCCCTTTCATATTGGGAAAATGTTGGAGGACACTATACATGTAGATGCAAGCAGTTGCTCAAAGTTTTCAATGACATTTAGATATAATTCATTTATAGTGCATTTTAAAAAGTGGAAATAAAGACGAAAGCATGAATTCTACTTTAGAGTTTGTATCTCTCAGTTGAAAGGGAAAAAAGTTAATCTCATACCCTCACGTTTACAGTGAGTTCCATCGAATCCAGGCTGACAATCACAGTGATAGGAGTTCTTTTCATATTTAGGAACACAGACACCACCGTTCTTGCAGGGAAAGCTTTCACATGGAGACTGAGAAGAAAGCAAACATCTCAACTAAAAACATTTATTCTGTATCCAAAAAAATTGAAATCTGGAAACTGCCAGGTATGAATAAAGATGTCTTACCCGTGCTCTGTAATGATGGAAGGTTGCATTTGCATGAAACTTTTCAGTTTCTCTGTATTTGTCTGTGGCCAACAGCTCACACAGACAAACACCCTTGGAGTCGGGATACGCAGCCATGTTGAACGAATAACAATTTGGTTCACGAACACAAAGAAAAGTGCAGTCCAACTGATCTTTCACCATGGACGATGAAAGTTTCTCTGCCCACAAGTAATAGAAGGGATCGCGCTCAAAGTTACTGAACGAAACAGTGCCTGTCGGATATCGGTACAGAGCACTGTTTTGCATGGCACACATCAACTTCAACAGAGAAGGAAAAAACGACAAGAGAGGCAGGAGCAGCATGGTGATGGCCGGTGAACTGTCAACTTCTGAATAAGCTGCTTTAGGATACCGAAGAGCTTAAACGTGAATGGAAAATATGGTAATTGCCTGTTTATACAAATCCACTCAAAGAGCAGGTGCAACTTGCGAGTTGAGATATGAAATATTACGATAGTTAATAAAACAAATTTCTTATTTTAGAAATCATAAAAGAGAATTTTTTTGTCAGTAGATTGAAGTATCTTAAACCGATGGGTGAGAGAAAAAAGCGAGAAACAAAAGGTATGTCATATTCGGGCGACTGTTAGATATATGCAATATGTTATACAGTTGTTAAACATAAGGTATCAGTAAATTAAACCATTCGATCTCAGACGCCGTTGTTCCGCTGTTTTTTACCTGTTTTATTTGATTAACTAATAGATTCCTGTTTCACATGTCTCGCTCCACCAATAACCTTCTATTTATAATTTATAACCCCTAACCGAATTTTGCGAACCTTTTCAGCGACTTTAGCCTTGTAATAGATCTTTTATAGCCTTAATACTTAGAAGCATATTTAATACGTATGAATGAACACCATAACCTTATCAAAATACTGTTTTTGTATCGTGTTTTAGTCAGTCTTTCATTTCCGTATGATAGCAGTTTCAATCAAAAACTGTAAATTTTTAAAACATCAACATTTATATAGATGTCTCCTTTTCTGATAGGCAGATTATTTCATTTATGAGTTTGAAAATATTTATATGACAAAATTCATGTAACTTGCAAAAAATGGTCTGTGCTAAAGTGAAATACTCCTCGAGCACTTCTTGCAGAAGCGGAGTTTAATAATGTCTGTTATACAGGTATCTAAGACTCACACTTCGACTTATTCCGTACCTGTGACGCAGATCATTACCATTAGTGCGATACTTCCCCCACAATTGTTATCTTAGCGAAACGCGTGCGATGAATGTTTATCACCACTAATAGTGTAGCCCTCTCACAGAATGCAATTTAACACCAACACGAACGTAAGTAGGAGAGATTTAACATAATTGTAGTGTCTTGTATCAAATTCCATTTAATTAATTGTCGTTATGATTTGCCAAAGAAAGACAGAACGAATTTTAGTTTCGGATAATTTATAGCTTTTCTCTGATTCTTGGCTGTTATTTTACTAGCCAGGTACATAATTTCATAAGCAGCCATTTTTTTAAAGCGGAGCCTCATTTTATTAATATGTTTATGACCTTCCGCTTAATGCTGTAACTAAATACATTTCCGTGTGCTGTTAGCGGATAAGGGACATTTATGTATGAATAACAGTATATAATATGAAAATGGAAGTGATCCTCGCAGCTATAAACACAACTTAAGCAATAATAAAATCCGTACATGCCTGAATTTTTTTCAAGCCTTATCTTCACTACTGCTTAAGAAGTGTTCATAACTGCGAGGATCGCTTCCATTCTTCAACCGCAGTTCATATATATGATTTTCATATATTTATAGTCATTTACTCACCACTTCACAGGTTTATTTGGAACCATCATAATGACCAGCTCCCAATTGGCTTGTTAGCTCAGTTGGTAAAGCGCTGCACCGGTAGCGTAGAGGTTGTGGTTTCAATTCTTCAACCCCAGTTCACATATACGATTTTCATTAATTGACAGTCAAATATATAATATCTTGTGAATAATTAATAATTTGCCTTTTCATAAAAACTGTTACCATGGTATTTGAGAGTAGAGGGGAAGGGGAGTTGAGACTCATTTGGGACGTTTAGCCGATGCTTTGAGAGGATCACTATTTTTTTCTTTGAGAAATTGTTAGTTTATCTTTCTTTCTTTCTTTCTTTTTTTTTTTTTTTTTTTTTTTTGGGGGTACTTCTGTTCAGGTGACAAAATCTGCGGTCACAAGTGGCATGAAGTGAAGCATTGCTTCAAAAACAAAAATTCATAAACAATGTTTGTATGTCCACTACACATTCTACAATGGGTATCAATGCCTATTGTTACGAGAAAATTTACTGATTTTCCCGTGTGTGTTATTCGGTACATATTTATTCGTAAACTTTCACATTTAACCATTTCAAGTTCTTTCATTTTAAAAAATCAAAAAATGCATAAAAACCACAATGGCTTTTAGAATGGATTTTGTTGATTACTCACTTTTACTATGCACCTGCTTGTCGGCATTTTTGTCATTTATTACATGGTTTTTTTAGGTAAATATAAGTGTTAATGGTCTTTCTGGAAACATTGGTTTTCATGGTAGATAGCAACTGAGTTTATACGCGTAAATTTAATTTCTTTTCATGCGATAGTTTCCAAACCAACCTTGCATAAATAAGCAGAAACTTTTAATTGTTTTTCCGTTTTTATTTCCTAAGCTGCGCTACTGCAATTAAGATAGGTATTGTTTTCTATATCAGAGCTGTAAATTCGCACCTAAGTTCCCTACGTTAATGGCCTAGAGTTTATTGCATCCTTCTTTTTAATTTTGAGATTCTTTCCGTCGTAGAAACAGATGGAATATTTAAGTAGTTTTCGTTTAACTTCAAAGAGACTTTTTCCGCTCCTTTGTGTCCTTATTCAAATATTGCGATTTGTGTAACAATAGCACTTCACACCAGTTACTTCTTAAGCAAGTACCTTGTACAGTTTTGATGATTATAAACTAGAGTATGCTAGAGGTCATGTCGCTTGTTGACCAGACCTAGAATAAAAGTACTGTGGAACCAAAGATTGTCTTATCCTTGACGTCCGTATAAGCTCGCTCGAAGCAGATCTCCGTGTACCAGGAAATCGTGACGAGTTTCCGTTCTCGCTGCCAAGTCGTCTCTACAGAGTTATTTCCCCCAGTTGTTATTGTGCCGTCCGCAAAGATTCATTTTTCCAGTTTGGGCGCGAAAACCTATCGTCACACTATTCTCCGCAGAAAGGCTTATGTTTGAAGATTTCTATTTATGTGTTAAATAACACTCCTGTGTCTGCTACACTCTTAAGAGGCTGTCTCTCTTATTTCCACCCGGTCAATTTTACATCAAAAATAATTTTACCTGAAACTCTGTCAACAGAAAGACTTTACCTAGGAAAGAACTAAATTAGATTTGGTTTGATTCGAAATAATTTTCTGACCGCATTAGGGGCCATAATTATTTCCCAGTCCGTAGGGACCGTCGCAACGTCTCGAAAATTGAAAAATAGGCATATTTTGTAACATTGTAAAATATTTGATTCGCATAGTTAAGCCACAGAATTTATATCAGATTGCTTATAAACCTTTCTAGTTTGCCAAGAAAGTTAGAATTTTCCCTCTCAATATATTTGAAAAGGCAAATTTTAGCATATTCTGACCACTAGAAATCGCCATCGGCCGATGGCCGTAAATAACCTTGATTTAGACGTTAAGTTTTGGGATTTGGGACCTGGTTGACAATTCTACCCTACACAGCCGTTAATGTTAGACCTGTATAGGCAAAAATATGCAAAAACGCCTGTAAGTTTTCGATTTTTCAAAAGTTATGACCGTTTGAACCAGCACATGTACGAGCATTCCCGATTTTTTCACCTACACCAAAATCGAACCACTGGAGCAGATTTCGTCATAAATACAGCTTACCTTCGGCGCATCTTGGGTTTATGTGAAATTTCAGATATTCCTCGCTCCCCAAACTGGTGAACTTTATGATAACTCCGGCAAGTAACTCCAAAATTCAGCGGTCGGCATCTATCGATACTCTTCTTTGACTCGTTGTTGCGAACTAAACTCGAAAACTAAAGCCATGTTTCGCGCTTAATGTCCCGTTGAAACTTTGGATTGCAGCTGCATTCTCTTCAAGAATCAGTCATAGAACTCCACTTGTAAGTCTTTGTGTCGAAGTTTGGGGTTTTGGAATTTAAAGCTGAACGATTGCACTATCGCGCATAACAGAGGTCCGCATTAACCATTGGGGGTGAACCCGCTGACCCTTTATTTTTTTTTGGAAGGCCTGCAAGTGTAGTATGGCATACAAGTGCTTTTTCAGCGAGGTTGTTAAAGCTTTCAGAATGTAGAGGTGATATCAATGATCATCTACAAGCGTGTCACTTAGGTCAGCTTAAAGGAATGGTACAAGAATATGAGCTTATCGTTAACAGGTCAAGGTTGCCACACGACCTTTACCCTGAGTGTTCTTTGATTCGTCGACTATGCTCACTGCAGTTGTTGTTCCCTTCACTGGGTGTTGCGTCAATGCATCTCTCATGTCCAAGGCAGTTAGAACATCGTGCCCTTCGTTGCAGTAAGCACGAATAGAGGACTTCATTGGCGAATCAAAGAACACTCTCTGTATAAGTAAGATTGAGCATTTTAGTAGCTTCCACAACTTCGAATATGGAGATACCAGTCTGAGAGTTTGGAAATGTTATGGCATCGGTAAAGGGAAGTACATTCCATATGACGTAATTTATATCAAGCACCAAGGTCAAACGTCCCTTCAAACCATAGAATCTTCAAAGGGTTTTATGATCCTCTTGAAAATTAGTATTTTAAGTGTGGTCAAGCGTCGTTCAAAGGGCAGCAAGGAAACAGAGAGTACAACGCCATTGTTTGAATGCTCTGTGTTTGGATGTGTTGAAGTGTTCGAAACCTTTTCGCAGCTAGAGCTGCACCTGGACGTTGGAAAGCATACAGTCAGCAGGTTAAGACAGTATGATGCAATCAAAAGGGACTGGGCCCTTAAGTTCTCGTCGATAGATACCGCTGGTATCGAGTGTTCGAGCTGTTCGTTAGATTCCAGTACACCACTCACTTCTCCCGTGAATACTTCGCCTTACTCGTCTCTACGAACAGGATGGGCCGTAAGCAAACCAAGGGGCAGCGTTAGATTTTCAGAGAAACTAAAGGAATACCTAACGGCACGGTTTACACTTGGTGAAAGAACTGGGCGGAAGGTAGACCCCGCCCAAGTTGCAGTGGACATGCAAAATGCGAAAAAGTGAATTAAATGCACGTTTGTTCACTAGAGAACAGTGGCTGACAAAGAGCCAAGTTCAGAGCTATTTCTCCCAGCTAGCAGCAATGCTGCGAAAAGATCAGGGTGTGATCGGGATATCGCTGGATGAGGAGGAAGATGTCCAATGCGTCCAGGAAAATTCAAGAGAGACAAGATCTGGTAGACAAAGTTAACAAAGAGATCAAAGTCTCACATCCAGTCTGCTACGACACGTAGGACTTCTGTGAACGTTACCACAGTAACACACTTCAGAAATTCAATGTGGTTTTGTTGAGAGCCATCTGTAGTCATTTTGAGATCCCTGTAAAATTGAGAGACAAAAAACAGATTCTCATAGACAAACTGTCGAACGTGATTAGTGATTGTCAATGTGTTTCTGAGTAGACTTATGTAAACAATGTCTTATACGGTGGCTGAAAGTGTAGAATATGCTCTACAGATACAAACTACCTTTAGTTCCGATATCAAGTTCTGACGGCGTTGTTATAGTGTAATATATTATAATATCTAGTAGTCAGTGAACTGTTTTGATGAAAGCGATCGAAAATTTACCAAAAGCAACACTTATAAAATCTGTTCTTACGAAGCATGTGTCAAGTTTTTATTACGTTGGTAGCCGATTTCTCCGGCTATTGACAGGTTGCTGTTCTGTGGACACAATCGACGCGGAACCGAGAGAAGCAAGCTCAGGATATTTGAAATTGATTTATTAATTATATGATATCAAACTCCAGGTAAAAGCATTTATTCTTTTCATCCAAAATTTTTCTCCCCAAATATTACATTGGGATACAAAACAAAACCATACGGTACAACGTACGGCACAAGCTATCAGCGGTCTTCTCTTTTGTGCGGACCTTTGTGAGAACAGCATAACAGCGAAGTGGATCTAAATTTAAGCGATTCTTTCTTCACTGCAG